TGCAGGAAAAGGACATGAGCCCACAACTTGATACAATATCTGGGATCTTTTCTGTGGGGAATTAAGTCCCCGAGCGTTAAGCAATCCAAAATGTATATTAACCATGATCTAACTTTAACAGGTCACATACCGCCGGGGGGAAAACCAGCCACAGTCAGCTCGCCAGAAGAAGGGAGAAGAGTACGAGAAAATAGAGATAGAAAACAAAAGAAACACCTAAAAAGTAGTGCAACTAACTGGGAGAAAACACTCCCATTGCAGAGTCTAGACACCAAGCAACCCACAGTGTCCAGAGTCTGCTTCCTACTTCGGGAACCCAGCACCACCCAGTGATCATATCAAAAACATATTGAACAAAAGAACAAAAAAAATAACATCAGCACTGATACACAAGAAAGAACCATACAACCCATTAGATCGCAAACAGGACAATCAAGTTTTTTAAAATTAATATTTAATAAAAATAAATGTAAAAATAATTTTTAAAAATGTAAAGTCCTCCGCCCCACGTCTTCACATAAACACGCGTCAGGTACGCCTACGTATGAAAACGACGATTGTGTCACACATGTTGGGTATCGCCGCACACGCCAGAGTGAGGGCAATAATTCTAGGGCCAGGTTTTGGATATCTTTAAACTGACGTCCTGTGGGGGCTTTTAAAGCCTCGTCTATGGACTTCTTGGGGTACTGAAGTTTGTCGCCGTTTCACGGACGCACACAGTTTTTAACCTGGGCATGTCGGGTATCTATTTACTCGTTGTCACCTCTTTTATAGTTTATTTAAAAATGGGTATTTTGTGTTTTGGGGCATTTAAGTGCATTTTTCACAAAATGTTGGGGTTTGATAAGGAGTTGTGCTAATATTGTGCAACATAAACATTGCACCTGCAACCATTTTATTCTACAGGGTCTTGGCTTTCAGAAAATATAACACTAGTGATCTTGTTGCTGGTAGCAAATTATGAGCAGCAGGATTGATAGAGACCACTCGCTTGCTCCAATAGCATGTTTTCCTCGCTGGCCAAATAGCAAGGTGTTTCTCCATATCTGATCCCTCACTAATGAGTGAAATTTTGTGGGATTTAGCAAGCAGCGAGGGATGCTGCAGGAGCAGCCGTGTGATCCCTGCAGACATGTTCCTAATTGTGTCAGTACAGTACTGCATCTCTGAGGATATGTTACTGGTATGTCAGTATTGTACTGACTGTGTCTCTGCGGACATGTTTCTGGTGTATCAGTATGACACTTATTGTGTCTCTGAACATGTTTCCAGTTGTGTCTTTGTATTGGTACAGTACTGATCATGTCTCTGTGGACATTTCTGATTGCATCAGTGCTTGTGTCTTTGTTGCTTTGTTTCTGGATTTGTCAATATGATACTGATTGCATCTCTGCAGACATATTTCCGGTATGTCAGCACTCTACCGATTGTATCTTTGAGGGCATGTTTCTGCCTGTTTCAGTATTTTGTCTTTGTGGACATGTTTCTGCTTGTGTCTGTAACACACTGATTGTGTCTCTGCAGACAGTGCTCTGCTTGTTCAGTACAGGTGATTTCTCTGTGGACATATTTCTGCTTGTGATTGCAATTTTAAGTGTTTAAAATGTTGCAATTTCCATTGTAGTTAAATAAAGAATAGATTCATTTATTATTTTACATGCCTTTATTTATATTTTTTTTACCTTCTGCAGATCAAGCTGTGCAGCAAAAGTGAGTTACTGGGGTTGGAACAAACTTTAAAACACTTCTGGGGGTGCTTACAAGAGCCACCTTTTATTCATATGGTTTAAACAATTTATTCAAAAGAAAAAACTGTTTAAAAAAACTTAAACAGCTTAAATCTTTAAATGGGGACTTACAAACATTTAATTCTAAAACTACAAATCCAGGATCAATAGGGTAAAAAAAAAACTATGCTATAGGGACACAGAAAAATAAAAAGTGTTCTTACTGCTAATGACAGACTGTATATGTAATTTGTCTTTTGCCAATAGCTCTACTTTAAAGATATAAATTAGACATGTGCTCTGCCAAAAAAATTGTTTAGTTTCGTTTTAAATTCGGATTTGTGTTATTTCGTTTTCGGAATTCGGGTGTGAAAGTCAATTCGGATTCAGAATTCGGATTCGGACGAAATTCGGTAGCGGTAGTTCGTTCGAACGTTCGTTTCGTTTCTTATTCGTTTCGTTCATTCGTTCGTTCGCTTGCAGCAAAGTGACTTTTGAGGGGGGAAATGTTTTTCTTCAACGAACGAAACGAATAAGAAACGAAAACGAAACAAATGTTCGAACGAACTACCGCTACCGAATTTCGGAAACGGAAAAGTTCGTCCGAATTTAGATTCGGAACGAAACGAATCGCACATGTCTACTATTAATCATAACTGTTTTTGTAAATTTCACCCAAGTACTACTATTTAATCTGCCATAGAGGAAGGAGTTCTTTAGTGATGCTTTTATTGATGTATGTGAACAGGTAGATACACAATAAAACTACATAATGCTTTACAGTGATAACATCTGCATAGTGGTAATATAACAATGGTAAGCACTTTTATAACTTACTAGAAACTCTTCAACTTATCAGTAGTTCCTGAGCTCCTGTTAGGCTGGGCACGCAGGGGGATTTTTGGTAGCACAATCTTGCTACTAAAACATCTGCCCATGGTTTATTACCAGCTATTAGTAATTAATTGCTACACATAGGAAGTTTAGCATGTAGTAGTATGTTAGGGTAATGTTGATGTTCAAGTATGTTCAAGTATGTTCAAATAATCACACTGTGTTTCACATTTTTGGGATCAGTCATTACTACATGTCTTGCGTATCACTAATCTACTAACTGACTTATCAGTCTGGATGTCACAACACTTCTTAAAACTCAACCTTTCAAAAACTGAGCTCATGATATTTCCTCCTGTCCGTGCACCTTCCCCCAACTTTTCTCTTGAGATTGATAACACAACTATCCAACCCTCCCCCCATGCCAAGGTGGTAGGTGTCATCCTTAACTTGGACCTCACCTTTCTTCCCCACATCCAATCACTATCCAAATCCTGCCGACTTCACCTTTGTAACATACGAAATACGCCCCTTCCTCACCAATGAAACCGCTAAATTACTCATCCACTCCCTTGTTATCTCTCGTCTTGACTATTGCAACTCCCTCCTCATTGGCCTACCTCTACACATGCTATCCCCCTTCAGTTTATCATGAATGCTGCTGCTAGAATCTACCACCTAACCAACCGCTCACTGTCTGCAACCCCCCTCTGCCAATCCCTCCACTGGCTTCCAATAGCACAAAGGATAACATTCAAAATATTAACAACCACTCACAAAGCCATACACAACTCTGCCCCCGGCTATACCTCAAACCTTGTCTCAAAGTATCACCCCCCACCATCCCCTCCGCTCTTCCAAAGGCCTCCTACTTTCTAGCTCCTTCATCAAATCCTCCCATGCTCGCCTCCAGGACTTCTCTAGAGTCTCCCCAATCCTCTGGAACTCCTTATCCTAACCAGTCCATCTATCTCCCACTCTGACTGCCCTTAGGCAATCCCTTAAGACTCGTCTCTTCAGGGAAGTCTATCCCACCTCAAACTAACCACTGAACCATCACGTTCTCAAACAATTCATCCTCACATAGCTCCCTCCTCACATAGCTCCCTCCTCATGTATCCCTTGCCCCTCCCTTTTAGATTGTAAGCTCTCAGGGGCTGGGCCCTCCTTACCATCTTGTCTTAAATTGTATTGTAATTGCAATGTCTTCCTTATATTGTAAAGGGCTGCACAAACTGTTGGTGCTATATAAATCCTGTATAATAATAATAATAATAATAATACATACAATTATATGTGTAGCACTCCTTAGTGAATATCCACAGACCTTTTTTGCACTTCCAGAAGTCATACATGTGTCATACATAGCTTCCTGATTCAAAACTTCACAAAAGGTATTGATTTTGAAGGACGTTACCCACTATTATTCATTGATGATACAGTATATTTCAGTTCTCTCCATATCACTTCATTTATTTTACATTGTTCCATCTTCTTCTTCTTAGTTTCCTTAGGTGTTTTTCCTCCCTTCCCCTTCACCTTTCTACCCTCTTCTACCTTCTTCCCTCCTTTTAATCCGCTTTCTCCCACTCTCTCTGGCCCCCCACACCCTTTTGTTCTTCCTTTTCCCTGTCCTCCTAACCCTTCTTTTTTTCTATTACCTTCTCTCCCCTTCCTCTGACTTTACTGTTGTCAATTTTGTCTGATATGATTCTGCCTATCACCTCAGTCCTAAGTTTAATGACCTTAGGTTTGACATTTCTATCAAACACATATTAAGAAAGAATGTGCAGCTCTTCAGATAATTTGGGGGTCCAAATGTATGGCCCTCAGATTCTACATGGTTGTCTACCATTGTGCTACAGCTGCCAAGTAATATAAAAACACTGACAGCAGGATCGGTTCCGTGGTGCTGTGCAAAACACTCAGTACACAAGTAGAAGCCAACAAAATGTTTCAGAGAGAGTGGGTCATATAGACTCTCTGAGGAAAAGGTGGATCCCTGAAACATGTTAGTGATGGCGTTTTTAGATTTGTAGCTGTCATATTGAGCTACTGTGACGGGCTGCCCAACTGTTGATTCGATACAGCAGCACCTGTAAATGTATTTTCAGTAATCCCTGACCAGATTCAGCCTATCTCTTGTCGGCACTTTAAGTCCTGAATAAGGGGGAGTTTTCTGTGCCCCCTGAAACGCGTTAAACAGGCCGGAAGCCAGGATGTAAAGTATTTTTTTCTCTTTCTTTGTTAGACCTAGCAATTTTGCATGGAGGCTGCGGACTAACATATGGGTCTTAGTTACTGTGTATTGAAAGGTCTTCTTTGAGCAAACATTACTTCACATCACCACCTAGTAGCAGAACCACCAAACACAGCATAGCATATAAGAATGATTGTTGAACTAATTGTAACAAAGTGAAAATGGTAATGTATTACCAGCACATTCCTCTTCCCAAACTGACTGTGTTCATTTCCAACTGTTCATGCTGCATGACATCTTCATACTGGAAACAAGTCTAGAAATATAAAAAATATATATACATAGTCAATCTAATTTTTCTTAAAATCAAGTATGCTAAATTGCAATTACCAAAATGAATATGTCACAAGCTAAATCATAGAGGAGCAGAGAGATTTAATAATGGTCTTTCCATATTGCCGTTTGTGAATTATGTATGTATTTTAGCTTTTGCACAATTCCTTGTGAATTAACATAATTATGAAATGAAAGTAAACCTTGTTTATACATACTAGCTAACATGCTCTATCAATAAAGTCTGTCTATTTTACCGTTTTTTGGAGAGGTGTGGGTGATGATGTTTGGTGAATAGCAGATTCACTACTTTAACTTTCACTTGACTGCAGGCAAATCTTCTACACATGAACGATTTGTTTCCGGAACGATTTGTTATTTGGATGAATTTTCAGAGATTTGGATGTATCCAAATTTCCGAATGACAGAAATGAGGAATGAAAACTAATCCGAATTTCCTGAAAACGACAATTTCGGATAAAATTCGTTAGCGGTAGTCTGTACGAATGTTCGTCCCGGCCGAATTTTTTTTTGCAGCAAAGGGACATTAGACCAAAAAAAAAAGACTTTTTTTTTCTAACAGTCTGCAGAAGACAAAAGAAGCGTGAGGTTCCCCCCCAATTGATACCAGACACTTTAGGTCTGGTAGGAATGGTAGTAATGGTAGGAGGGACCTCCCCAAATCAAAAAACAAAAAAAAAGTGCGTGGGGTTCCCCCCCAAATCCATATGAGGCCCTTTAGGTCTGGTAGGGATTTTGAGGGGGGGAAAAAGTGGGGTCCCCCTAAAATTCTTGTGTGGTCGAACTCCTGCAATCTGGATTGCACAGTCATGTTTAACTACCTCCCGGCCAGCCGTTGTGTATACACGGCCGGCAGGGAGCTTCTTGGATGTAACTGGGCGTGTATACACGTCCTGTTACATCCGCCCGCCCGGGCGTGGCGCGCGCGCGAGCGGGAAATCCCCGCTATTTGAAAACAGGCAGCGATGCCCGTTATTATACAAGCTGTCAAGCTGGTCCCGGGCTCCGGTGTGAGCCCGGGACCAGCATAAGGCCTCTGTCACAGGGGTTCAGAGGGAGCTCGGTACACGAAAAAATGATGGTAAAAAAATTTAAAGTTTCCCCCCAAATTTTTTTAAAGTTACACAAAAAAGAATTAAAAAAACAAATTTTTTTTTAAAGTCCCCACCCCTACATACACGCATGTAAACATGCGTCAGGTGCGCATACCTGCGAAAACGACGATTGCGCCCATTACCCATGTTACGCCCATGTTACATATCGCCGCGAACGTCGGAATGAGAGCAATAGTTCTAGGGCCATCAATCACTGATAACACTAAACTGATGAGCGGTAAAAGCTTTTAAAGCGTCGCCTATGGCCAATTTTGGGTATGCTAGCTTTTTGCGATTTTGCGAGTGCGCGCAATTTTTAAGCTTGATATGTTTAGTGTCTATTTACCCGACGTGACCCCGACTTTTATATTTTACCAAAAAAGTTGGTAATATTAGTTGTTTTATAACATAATGTAAAAAATTTTCAGTAATTTCTCCTGAATATAGTAAAAAATAAAACCCGTAGTGGTGATTAAATACCACCAAAAGAAAGCTCTATCTGTCCCCAAAAAATGGTATAAAATT